TTTCATTTTTTTAAGCTAAAATACAAGCTGTATTTATAAGTATTTGATAATTATAAAATGATTATTTGAAATAATTATTTAGAGCATTTGAAATAATTGTTTGAAATGATCATTTGCAATGATTATTTGGAGTGCTTAAGATGATTGGTTGGAATGATCATTTAGAGTGTTTGAGATAATCAGTTGGAATGATTATTTGGAATAATTATTTGGAGTGATTATGTGAAATAATCATTGTGAGTATAAAAAATATCTAATCACAACAATATTTATCAACTTTATGTCTTAGAAAGAATTCAACTAATAAATTCACTGTACTAACTTCATTTTTTGTCATTGAATTCTGCTTTCAAAAGATAATATGATTCCAAGCTTTCTATACTAGTAATGGAGATAATTAATAAATTAGATTAGAATATGTTTTATTAAATTTTATGACTCTTTGAGTTATTGCTTTGCAATTGATATATTATCGAGAAATTAATATTATATTTATAATACAAAAAAATTAGAATTTTTCATGAAAATTATGAAATATATTTCTAAAAAAAAATATTATCAACTCTTAGAAATAACAAAATAAAGTCTAAAGTACTAGTCCTTAAGAATACTTTAGATGATTTTATTTTAAATATATGAATAAGTTATATAATAAATAAATATATTAATCAGAAAATAGATATATGTATTATATATTATTAACTTGTTATATTTCTTTTTGAACTGCTTATAATATTATGTGAGTTCTGAAACATTGTCATGAGTCCTGGGCTCAAGTAAGTAATCTTGTGACGTGGGTATTTAACCAACATCTATTTCGATAATTCAATATCCTGATCCAGTTATTTTAGAATCGTGGCGCTATGTGTTGTTATGGTCTGGAATTTTCCTTAATTTCTTAATTTTGATCATGTGACTCAACATAGATTGTAGAGATAGCAGAGTTCTCAGTTATATTAACATTATTCATTATATCATATTTATCTGACATTTATAACATATCCCACATTGTAATAACTTAGCCATAAATTATTTTATATAAATAAAAGATCTTTTGGATAAACCAAAAGGCATTAATTGATCAATACAAAATCTAGCTAGTCAATAAACTGCTTCTTGTTTATTGTTTAATGAAATTGTACATTAATTGATTTATAATTATTAATCTTGTTATAACACTTACTTTATACACTACTGGACACTCAACCAGATTGCTATAGGATATCAGTACTATATTGCTATAGAACCATCACCACACTAAGTAAATACAAAGGAAGATATTTATTCGTAGTAGTGTTACCTATTCTAAATTAATAGAATAGAAGAAGACACACAGCGCCACGATCCTAAAGCAACTGGATCAGGATATTGAATTATCGAAATAGACGTTGGTTGAATACTCACGTCACAAGATTATCTACCTGAGCCTGGGACTTGTGACAACACCTTTAAAATTAGATGAATAAAGCATGATATCCCACCTTCTTATGACTTTATCACTCGAAGCCAGATATTATAGTTAACAATATATTATTTTCAATCGATTAATTATATATCTTTTTTCGAATTTGAGAGAAAAAAGGAAATAAACATGGCCCACCCTCTCATTATTTCAGAGTTGCTCAAAAACATATTCAGTGTCTTAGCCAATAATAAAACGCTCTATCCTGCTTTATTTGTCAATCACCTTTGGTATCACTGCAGTGCTCCAATTCTATGGAGATATATTGAGTTTTCTATAGAAGATTATCAGCAGAACTGATATAATAAAAATATATCTGGATCTCTTTATTGGCAATTAAGAAAGTTTAAAAGAGTTATATGTGAAAAGACAAAACCTCTCTATTGCTCAAAGATGGTGTATCTCAAATTGGCGGATTTAAAAATCTTGGATGCATTACTTAGTGAAATTTTGTGCTCATGTCTGAATATAAACTTTCTTATTCTTGATTGAAGTTATAATTTTAGTAATATACCAATTATAAAAATTGCAAAATATTGTCTGAAGCTACTACATCTGAGTCTTGATACGTGTACAGCTATTACTGATAGATGCGTTAGTGAAATAACACAATTTTGTCCAAATTTAAAATACATAAGTCTCACTTCTTTGTATAGAGATAGTAACATTTCCAATATATCTGTGATTGAAATAGCACAATCTTGTTCCAATATAGTATATTTAAATCTCAATAAACAATCTTCTATTAATGATGAATCAATTTGTGCAATTGCACGTTCATGTGTAAATCTTCAACACCTGGATTTGTCATTCAATGAAATAATTACGGATGAAGCTATAAGTGCGATTGCAACTGGCTGTCCAGATATGCGAAATTATTTTCTCGAAGGCTGTGAACGGATAACTGATAAATCAATCAAAAAAACTGCACAGTTAAATCGAAACCTGCAAAAGCTTATTCTCACTTCCTGTTACAAAATTACAGACGATGCTATATGTAATGTAGTCCGTTCATGTTCAAACATTCAGAATCTTAGTTTTCAATATATTTATATCACTGATAAAATGATATATGAAATTGCACATCACTGTTCAAATTTATTAGTTCTCAATGCAAAGAAATGCCCGTTTATTTCTGATAAATCAATCTACTTCCTATTAAGCAAAAAACTGGCACTAGAGCTAATATTGGATTGGATTCTGTGATCCATATAGGTTAGTTTGATAATAGAATATTTTTTCAGTTGTAATTTTATTCTATTAATATTAATACATCCTATCTGCCACTTATATTTTTGAGCTGACCGAATCCTGTCATGTTTGAAATTAGAGTGAATGTGTAATAATAACAAGTACAATATATTATTATTACTAGGGATTTTTGTAATCTATAATACATATTGATATAGAAAAATCAAGAAGATATGTGTCATTATCTATTGTATGTAACATATTCTGCATCTACTTTTCTGGTTTCAGCGTGAGCTGGCATGAAGTACCGAGTGATAGAGTCATGAGAAGACAGGATATATTAATTAGATAAATAGGTTATGTAACTATATTATATAATTTATTAAATACTATGCTTCTATTCCTAAAAATTGCTTTTGAAATTTAGTCTGCAATTGACTCTTTTTAGACTCTATCCAATTATATGGAATAATATATTCTTCATATTGTCTATTAATAATGGAACTGCACACTATAGAATTATTTTTATATAATTCAATCTATTTAGTACGCCATTGATCAAATTGCTCTCGAGTCTGAGGATTTTTTATTTTATGTCAAGTTAAATCTAAAAATTTCTTATTATCTGAAGTATTATCATTTCTCATTGCATTCCAAGCTTGGGTTGCTAATGATTCAGGTCTATTCTTATAATTTCTATAAGCTATTTGTATAATTCTTGCTTTTCCAAAATCAGTCTTTGATTTATTACATTCGTGGTCCCAATGTTTCTGCATCAGATTTTTAGGTTCGAGATGATCAACATATCTCTGTCTAGTAAAATGAAATAATTTTTTAGGATTCACATCATCAATTTTTATGAGTTTCCAGCAATCGAAGCAAATAGCCATATGATTTTTATGAATTCTTGGCCTATAATAATGGAAATTATTAAATTTACCTTTATCATATAACATAAATAAACAATATCGATGATATATACTAAATTTTCCTGAATTTAACAAATCTTGTAATGGAATTCTTACTCATATTGCCCATTGAACAGGTGTTTTATTCTGTTTTATGATAGATAAAGTGTCAAATAATCTCTCATTATCGAAAATTTGATTGAGTTTATTAGCATAAGTTCCACAATAATATGATATATATGATACAACATACTTTATATCAAAACCAGAACAATTATTATATGGTTTAGGAAGTGTTTTATCTTTTTTATCAATAATAGTAGCGATATCAAAACCAGACATATTTATTCGATTATATTATATTTAGGATATTTAGACCTATTTGATTTAATAACTTTATACTCTAGAATAATGCAATTCAATTTTATGTGGATTAGATTCTCGAACCATCTCTTTGAGAGTGTTATAATCATCATATTTCACGAGTAATGTATACGATGGTAGTGAGAATTGTAGACCCGAAGGATCATTGCAATAGTTTAGAGCTGATTCTAGGCTCGAAGAGTCATTGCTTCGCAATAAGAATTTATTTGTGGTGATATTTAAGTATAAGTCACTCATGTATATATTATAATCTATTTTTGACATATGGATAATCATTGCATAATCTATTTTGGGCAGGTGGAATCTATTTCGGATGTATTACAAGCATATCGATATGATTTAACGGAGCAAGCACAGACACGAAGTGTTATTATTTCATAGTAGGTGTTAATTTTCTGGAAAATTTTCTGCTGAAAAGTAATGTAATACACATGTTGTGCAACTGAATACATTTTGTAAACGAATCATGTTAATGCTGATCTAGAATTGCTGATCACGGGCTAGCTAAATTTTGATTTCCAATTCATTAACTGATAGTTGGTTCATTAACTGTAATATTTGCCCAACATGAATGTTGTTTTGCGTTCGACTTTAATGTGACTATATAAGGATCTGTGATATACATCAAAAAAATAAAAAAAAATATACACTGTATATTAATTATCATATAGATGCGAGAAATAACTACTATCTCTTTATAGATACTATTTGAATTGAATTTTGATATTTATTTATATAACAATTGAGGTGATAAGTTTTTTCGTCACAATATCACCACTGCCCCAAAAACTCTCTATATAATTTCTAATATTTTCTTTATTATAATTTTTATTACATATAGGACAAAGTACTGATCTATTAAAATCAAAATAATTACTATATTTAAAACTATGTTTTAGAGTTAAATAAGGAAATTACTCTAATACCATTTTAATAACATGTTGTTGTCTTTCTTCAGGATTGTTTGGTAGAACAGAAATTGGAAATTGTCATTTAGGTGATATAAATAGAACATTCATCTCCGGTACCCTCACCTGAGTTTCCAACGAACTGTCCTATAGAATATGATTATCAGCATTTTCACTTTGTAGAGATTCAGAAGTTTCAGACTTTATCCAAGGATCGAGTCCAGTCTCTTCCATATATGCTTTATATAATCTAGAACGAATTTTATCTGTCTGAGAACTTGGTAAATCAACTAAATTAGCATGCCATTTGCAATAGTCATCAGTTAATATTTTGTTGGAGGTAGTATCAGAAGACATGTTATCGTTTTATATTAATGCAAGTCAATTCAAAATCACGTAGCTGAAAAAAAAAATATCATTATTCACTTGACCAAGTTTATGTAATTATTTACTTACGCAGTTATTTCAATTTCTTGTTGCCCACATTTAATAAAATAAGATCCAGCTTCATATCTACCTCTTATACTTTTCTTATCCTTATAACTTAATTTACATGCTGGACATAACGACTTATCAATAATTTTATAATAATCAAATTTTTCACTACTAAATTCTCTATATATATCAGGATATCGACCTAATATTTTATTACGAAAATAATCATGATCATGGATCAGATTCATGATTTCTTCGAGACGGACTGTCCTGGAAATTTCAATTATATTATCTTCAGAAAATACTTCAGGTGTGATTTCAAGCGAAGGAGAATTAGAGATTTGGTTCTCTAAACCATGATTAATAATCTCTTGAATTTGATCATTAGTAAGTTCCGAGATAGAATTTGCACTATAGTTCTTAATATATTTAATTTTATTTAAACCTATCTTTTCGAATAACTTATAAATTTTTACAGCTCTTTGAGTTTTTTGCGTAAGGTATCTCGTGATATATTTGGAATTTGTAAGCCCAAATCTTGTAATCATTTTTTACGAAGAATACAGAGTTGATTTTCAATTTCATTATAAATTAAGGTTCTTGCTTTTTTCTCGCCAATTTTATTTTTACTATTCATTTCACAAACTTGAAATTCAAAATTCCTACCATAAAGAGACCAGCACATGATTTCTTCCTAATTAGCCTTCGAAGCTCGATCTTCTGCGCCTATGGCTGTATCGCACAACTGAGCTAAATGTTGTGATATCTCATCAATGTCGAATGAATTAACAATACCCTTCGCAGAACCATCCATACCTTCAAATTTTTCAGGACAGGCCATCTCAGAAATTTCAATCTGTTCTGGTTTAATATTTTTTGATATAGAGTGATCTTGTGAACTTGGCTCCAAAGAAGTATTGAACAATTCTTGCTGAAGTTTGTCTGTTCCCCTTTTCTTATAGCTAACTGAAGATAGGTCTTGATCTCGAAGCTTCTCCTCCCTATTGTGTTGTTTTATCTCGCTACTAACTTTTTCCTTATTTTTCAAATCCAGAAATTCATCGATCTCTTTATTTTCTGATGATTTAGGCTCGGACAAGTGTGCATGAATATTGGAAGAAATATCAGATGATGCTTCGTGGAGAATAGATTCTTCTAATACATGTACGGTATTTTGTGTCTGCTTCTGTTCCAATTTCGTGACTCTGTCTCTGAGCTCAGCATTTTCAGCAATGAGATTACTGGTGTCTGTTTTATTTTTCTTTTCTAGCTCCTCGAATCTGGTCTTGAGCTCAACATTTGCTTCTATCACTTGTTTCAATTTTGTATTCTCGGCCTTGACCTCAGCATTCTCCTTTCTAAGTTCAGCAATTGTGGCAATGAGTTGAGAATTTAATTCTTGCAACGAATCGATTTTTGATTGAGTATCTGACATTGTTTATACAAGATGCGGATATGTTCAAAAGTTTATTAAAAATCACATGACTCTGCTTTCTCATGTATGATATCAGCGAAAATTTTAATCACCTGAATTCGGCCTGTCATGCAAATAATACATTTAATATAGGCATGATAACTATTTATATACTCAAGAGTGGGCAACGACAACGAGATGAAGATAATGGAATTATAGTGCCCGTCTTTTTCGCTTGCCTGAAATTAATGTTTAATTTTTACTTTATACTCGTGGCGTAAGTGCTCGGATGATTGCGTTTCGAATTAAAAAGAAATCGATTGTGATAGGATCAGGAACTAGACCCTGAGGAATCGCGATAGAAGGATGTACATCGTGGTATAAACAACTCAATGCAATGTTTATCACACGTGCACCTTGCAGAAAAACCAAAGGAGCTCCATTCCCGTCAGTTGTGCCGAATTCAAACTGATTAATTATAACGTTAGAGATTTTTGATATTCGCCAAAAAGAACATCAACATAGTCTAATATTACCGTAGTTCTTGCTGGAAACATAGATCTAGTTCTTCTATCCAGGATGCAATAATGCCACGCCTGCAATTTATCAGCAATTTAGAATATTAATATCGCTAAACTGTATAATGAACTTACTATCATACGATTAGGTACTTGACCATCAGGAACTGGGTCAATTTTTACAACAATGGCATCATAGGCATGACCAGGCTTTAGCCAGTAGTTCTTCACCTTGTCTGTAACGTGAGCTATTGTCTCGGAATATGCAACTTCGATAACCAGATTTGGCCATGGGCGAGTCTAAAAATAGAGTATAATATGAAATCACCAACTTTGAAGGGTTCAATGGAAAAAAATACAAGGTACCTTCTTATCAATCCCGTTGGGATATGGTACTTCTGGTTTTTCCGGACGAAATGAATTGTCGGCCTCTTTTGCAGAACCGTCAGCATAGGTCCCTTTAGCAATTGAAATTAGTATCGAATAGGCATAAAGCAAAGAGAATTAATGAATCGACTCTTACGAGTTGATCCAAAAGCATAAATCTGAGCAGGAGTCCATTTAACATTTCTACAGGCATCCATTATTTCTTCGGAAATGACACCGATGCCAACTTCATGTGGTTCTGAAGGCAATTCATAAATTATAACATCGCCGTTGATCCATTCCCAATATCCACGGATGTTAAACTCGCCCGTCCGCTTTTCATATTCTTCCAAGGTGACACCAACCGCAAGTTTATATGGAAGTCTTGATATGAATAGCAAAAATTGGCTTTTACCTCACTAGATCATAAAAAGATCCAGTCAACGTTAAAAACAAGTAGAAAAGGGACTTACGTTGCTTCTTCCCAATTTGCCTTTGGATTGAAATCTCCTTCTTTCCACCATAGGGTTCGATAATAATGATACTCTGGCATTCTTTTTGGAACAATAACGCTGTCGCTAAAGAATAGCTCCGGAAAGTTAGCCGAAAGATTAGAGAAATACCGGTTACACGTATTTACTCACACAGTAGTACGAGAGCTGGCGCTTGTTCTGCTAACGTTGCTCAAAGTTCGAACAAAGGAATTTCCATCTGAGTTTGTAGATATTGACATTTTAGCTTGGAGAAGATAGTTGCAAGCAAAAGCAGATACTGCGAGTATTTATAAAATAATTTTTTCCCACGAGGCAAAGCTAGTGATTGTGTCACGATTATCAATTGATCGGATTGTTAAAAAATCACGAGCTCAATTAATAATGAAGCTAGCACGGCTAAAATTTTCAGCCTACGCCGAAATATATAAAACTAAGAGGTCTCGCTAATACAGATATAAAAAGCTTGGACCTAGCACGACTGCATGGGAGGGAAAACTGGTGCACCAGTGGAAGTCAGCTCCAAAGCTTTGCCCGAAGGCGATGACTACCCCCTATTCTCTCGTCCTGCTAGGTCCAGCGCTATCACTATTTTCCTCCTCTTCTACCTCTGTATCTAACTCCCTACCCATAATCTAATACATTCTATAGTTTCTTCCGTCGGATTTCTAGTAAGACGTTTGTGGAATTTCCTTATAGTGGCGTCTCCAAGCCGTTCCCCCAGCTCCCTTATTTCTTCTGAAATTTTGGAATACCGGTTCGTTTCTCTAGTCGACGTTTTTCTTTGAATAGGCGATCGAAATCTTGCCAGAGAATTTGAATATCGCCGGTGTAATCTTGAGGTATTCTATTAGACCCGGACCTTCGAGAGCCGGAATTACTGTCGCGACTGCCAACACCATTTTTGATGTCGCGAACTTCGTAGCCAATTAGGCTTATATTGCGGTCGAGATCGTTGATTTTTTGTAGCAATTCGGTATTAGCGCTTGAGTTTCGCCGTGATCTTTTGATAGCAGACAATTCCGCAGTTATACGGTTTTCCACTCTTCGAGTATTTAGGTATAATACTAGCGATTGGACTAGCGTGAACAGGACGAACACGAAAAAATCTGAATTGTTTGAGAACATTTTTTGAGTATTATGTTTTGGGTAATTTCACGGTTTGATCTTGCAGAACAAGGAATATGTGATTGTTGTAACGCAATTTGCGTGCGTTTTGCGTTCTATTGTAAATTGATCTAAGGACGAACCTGCGGATATCGTTTACGAAATTGACGTGTTTTATAGAGTTCATGGTGGCACTTGAGCTACGAATGAAGTAAAGCAAGAATGGATTGATATCTCGCTCATTTCTTTGTGTACAACTCCTAGAAAACCAATTCGTCGCTTCATTATGAATTCGCGCGCAAAACAAAATTTGTGTTGGGAGATGCTTCAATAGATGAATTAGCTAGATTGCGTACCCCTTATTAAATGAATTAATAGTCAGGGTGTGGTTCGAACCAGTTATTTTTTGTATGCGGTGGGTGATCATTATACTAGTAATGAAATACACATAACACGATTGACATTTCCGGATCTTCGTTAAGGCACACAGTAATTTATTAATAGTAAATAGGCCATTGGTTCAAAATCAAACCATAGCCATTTTGCTAAGCTAATATACCTTAACTCTTTTATTTCCACCTTCCAATTCATCCGCTTTTTGAACCTCTTCTAGTAGCCATACGATATGAGAAAGAACTTTCTCTACCTTGACTTTCATATCCTCATCCTCGTATACAACAACGGCCGGTTTTGAGAGCTTGAATGATGGTTTTTCTTGATCGTCCAATGTACATTCAAGGAAGTAGAATTCTTTTGCATCAGTCACAATTGCGAAAACGGAACCAACAACTTGTTCAGTCTCCAATTCATCAACCTTCCGTTTGCGACTCGCCTATACACATAAACCAAAAAAGTACTTACGTGGATATAAGGCATCCAGAAAAAAAGCGAATTCTTATGCATAATTGTATACTCACCAATGATGATTCCATTTGTACGCTTGCCTGCGCAATGCCTTGCAAAAAATCTTCCCTCTTGACTTCTACAACGTCAATAATCCGTCCCGTCGCACATGATTCCATCGCATAATCAGTTTTACCTTGCCCATTTTTTCCTATTGAGGACGGAATAGTAAGACTTTATATCAACGAACGAAAGAGAAATAACTCTGCACACCTTCGATGAGCTTTTCAGGTCGGATCCTTATCAGTGTTTCAAAGAGCGACACGGCAGATGCCAGGTACGAATAGGTATATATCGTTTTTGTTGCTTCGTACGAGAGGTTGATGGGCGTCGTGGCAAGACGGGTTTGTAGCTCTACCATTAATTTATCGAGGGCGACTTGGAAATTTACGTTTTTCGTATCAGAGCAACCGCAAGAAAAGGTTGGAAATACAGATACATCTGGATTCGGATCTTCGCTAAGATTGTAGAGTTGGCAAACTTTCGGGAAAGTCCAGTTGTTGAATGCTTTTGAGGGAGTCTCTATGAAGACTGTAAACTTGAGGTTATTCTTTGATACCAGCAACCGGAGCATTTCACGCAATGCTTGATCGTTTCGAGGTGAGTATTTCCGGCTGTCGCAGACAACGTTGAACACCGCTCCATCATTTTCAAGTGCTGGTGTTTGGTATACTGCATGTATGGAATCTTTGAGAGCTTCGAGGGTCGCATGCTCAATATTCACTGTCCACTTGAATCCCTTCGTCCGTTTCGGGCTTACGACAACATCGAATTCTGCAACACAACAGCTGGATCAGTAAAAAAGGAAGTCTGATCGTTCCCTGAGGGAACGGTTTTTGCCAAGAAATTTTATACATATACACACCATGGACAGACTTGTTAATCGATGCCTCCAATGACGCGATTCGGTCAAGCAATTCCTGTTCACGGCTCGAACTGGCGATTTGCACCGGTGGCTCGACTATGACGTGAATACATTCTTCGGCTGGCGTGGCAGGAAAATCTTTTTCGTTGCTAGAAGTTCGTCAGCTAATTCGGGGTTGGCCAGCTCGGAATCGCGATCGTCAGGAATTTCCACCTTCCACAGTTTGAGTTCGTCGGCAGGGATATCATCAAAGCGTGGCGCCTTCTTCGCCTTAATAATTTCTTTGAGGTGGCTTACTAACTTGCCACTATCAATATCAACAGCGAACGCATTCGCGGGTAAGTTTCCTTTGACCAAACAGACTAAAGTAATAGACATTTCGAGATATATATGACTTTTTGGTGGATTTTTATTGGTAGACTGCGGAATGGTACACAAGAAAAAAGCGAAAAAAACGATAAATGGGGGGGGGGGGAGTCATAGAAATGTATTCGGTTTCACAATGCCATGTACTACATTATTTTTCGGCAGAAATTTTTCCGGGTGATCGCAATCGATTTATTTCGGAAATTTGGTTATAGTAACAATCAGCAGGTCACACAATTATTGTGGCGGATTAAAATGAAACCAGATTAAAACGAAACAGAGTGTGATGTTTAAATAATCATAGGTCAATTT